GCCACCTTGGCTCGATTATGGAGGTTATTTGAAATGGATTTTTTTTTCAGATTCCTCTTTTTATTGGATTTGATTTGTAATTATTTATTTGTTTTCAAACTTTGCTACAGTAAACACCTTTTCTTCCAATAGTCCTGCAGCTGCTGGGCCCAGTTGGTCAGCCAGTCCTGAGTCCTGTAGCCCTTTTTTCACAGATGTCCAAGAACAAATTTATCTGAGGAACAACCGATCCAGTATGTGTTTCTGTACATCACATTTCACCATATCGTTTATAGGAGAGACAGTCTTCATCTGATTCCTCTGATAAACCCTGACATGTATAGTTGAAGCTTTGGCACAGCTCACATCTTCCTTACAAAAAATAAACCTCACAAGAACATCAAGATATTGCCACTCTGCTACATTATTATTACTAAATTTAAGTTACATGCCACCCAACTCCCAGTGATTTGGGGCAATTATTTAGATTTCAGCCATGGCATTTGTGGTTTAAGGTATTAATAAAATGAATAAGCCAGCAATGTTTAAATTGGAATTATACCAAAGTCTTAATTTTTCAAGTTAAAAGGGATTTGAATTTCAACTTTTTTCTCATCCAAATGTGCCTAATAGTCTTTATTAGTATATATAAAAAAACCTAAATCTATTCTAAATGAAGAATCAAACTCCTGCCAAGAAGATGAATTTCCTGTTTTATTCCAGAAAATAGACCAAAGTCAAAATACAAACTAAATATATTCTTGAAATTCTGAAAAAAATAGTCCTATTTTTTTTATTCAGAACTTGCAATTTATATGGAAGTCTTTCTACTTCATAAAAGCTTCCTAATAGTTTACCAATTTGTATAAAATATTCTAGAAGTCTATAATCCAATCTTAATCCTTAAATAAATATTTCTTGATCTGGTTCAGATATGATTACCAACAATTGCTTGCATTTTAAATAAATATGCAAATTGTCCTGTAATTTAAAAGTAAAATGTATTGCAAGGGAAAGCTGACTCTGATACCACCCCAGTTTTGCCCATATAAATTTCTTGAGAAGAATATAAAATGAATTTGCCATTGCTTTCTCCTGTTTTTTTTTTCTTTTTTTAATTCTCAGTTGGGTGCTAAGCCTTGGTATTATCTAGTGGTAATAATATTTTGTTTGTTTGTTTATTTGTTTATTGGATTTATATGCCACCCTTCTCCCAAGGATTCAGGGCGGCGTACAGCATTAAAAAAAACACATATTACAAAAGTTTTAAAAAATTATATAGCGTATCCAAAAAACAAACCCAATTAAGATTAACAATAACTTTAAAAAAATTAGA